AGTGCACAGACCGAGAAAGAAGCAAAGTGAATGTGATGGACTAAAAGAGCAGGAGAAAAGAGAACATTTAGAAACTGTACCTGAGAGAATATGAGAAACAGGCAGAATAAAGAGGAAATCCACCTGAGAAGGGCATCAAGACCCGGTCTATTCATAAAAGCGTGGTATGAATGTAAGATCTGAGACCCATTAAACATGAGCTTATACCATCAGTGATGATGAAAATCACTAGACTGGGCAAAGAAGTGTCATGAAGTTCTCATGGGAGAAATTCAGGAAGGTCAAAGGTAGTTGATCTTGTAATCTGACCACTTGTACTTGGAGAGGATGCGGTTAATGACAGTCTAGCTTGTTTGAAGGGCATTGTGTTTGAGTATGTATGGCTGGTTTCCATGGTGACCTCGTATAAATAATCAGCCGCAAGGTCTCGCAGCACTCATGGGAAGGGTGAATAAATAGCTAAATGAGGTGAAGCACGCCAGAGCTGTGTTTTTGTCCTCTTGTTTACTTTCTCTCGATCAAGTCTTGCTGATTTGTCGTGCACTTCTTTATAGGAGACGCTCTATTTCAGATCTGAACGGCAGCCCATCTTTAATTGTCCCTCTTGCTCGTGTATTGAAAACAACCCTGATGCTACTAAATAAGACTCAGGCTTAAATTCACCTCTGTAATTACTGATCTACATTTTGCCTGATAATTGCTGCTGGGCAATTACATGTATATTTACTGCTGGTATTGTGGAGGAAGACGGGGCCGTGGTCTGGCTCTGTTTGTAGTGTTGGATAATGGCAGCAAGCTGCATAATGTAACACTGCTTTCATCATCATCATCATCAACCTCATGCAGCCGCCACATCAAAAGACCCCAAAATGAAGGTGTTTGTGCATCCATAAGTGTATGTGCATCTGTTTGTGTACGCGTACGTGTGTGTGTCTGTGCGCATCTCGCTGTATTTACATGTGCCTGGTTATTCGTGTGCTCTGAATCTGTGTTTTGGTCTAGGCATGGACCAAATGTATGTGTACTGTGGCCTCCAGGCTGTGAGTCTTGGGTGCGTAATGATGTATAGCTGTGCTTGTTCACCTCTGGCTATGTTCATTTGAATAGGTGTTTGTTTCACACCCTCTAGAAAATGACTTGGGTGATGTTGGCCCCTAAAAAGAAACATTTCGGAGACAAATTACTTTTTTAGTTTACTAATCACAGATTTGCTCAATAAACATCAAAAGCACTTTAGTTCACTTCCTTCTTTAACAGACTGGGTTTAGTTTTTGTCCTACTTTCCACGACAATTGTATAAACAGTTAGGCCTTTTCCGCACAGAGATCCGTTTAGCTGTTTACGTAAAAATGTTCTATCGAATCGGCATTTCGTCCAGACAGATCCGCCGTTTTGGGAGCCTGTTTTTTTAAACCGGATCGCAGAGTGGATAAATCTGAAAACGACACCCTTGCGTTTTTGTGAGGCCGGCCAATCCGTATATTTTGTGAAATAATGATGTCATCACCCCACGTCGATCCTACTCGGACACCGCTATGTCACGGAACTCCAACAACAACTGCGGACTACATGCTTGTGTTCGTGCTGCAGAAGCTACTGATACGTTTTTATTCCTTTATTTAATATTTACTTGAATGTATTTTTATTTTATTTCTTTTTTTTACTTTATTTATATTTTCTTTCTTATTCTATGATGCTTGTCTGTTGTCTGAATTAGACATTTCCTATTTTGTTTGTACCAAGCCATTTATAGTTGTTTATATTGTTCAATAAATTTCTTGGTAAATAAAATAAAATAAAAAAAAAGTAAAATAAGCTACTGAGCCTTTTATTGTATACAGCGCACAAGGTTTATGCGCATGCGCCAAGTCGTCGTCTTCATTTTTAGTTTATCTCAGTGGCAGAATTACAGCTCTCTTTTGAGACGGTTTTAGTGGTTTAGTGTATACGCAGATATTTCTTGAGGTGACGCCGTGTTTACTGATTTTTTTTCATTGTTTTTTTTTTTAACGAGGGAAGAAACAAATCGGATATGGCAAGCTCTGGCTTCTCATGGATGTGGCCTTATATAATACTTTTTCTAGTTGTGTTTGTACTTTTTATGCTGTCATTCTAGTGATCATGATTGTATATGTGCCATTCGCTGCGAAAAAAAATCTATCATGTTTCTTTTTAGTAATGGTTCTCGATCCATTTTAAATCAGTACTAACAGAAAAAGAACTCTTGTTCAGTTAGGGGAGTGAATTGTAAACTTAGCTCTGAATGAATCAATGACTGATATACGGCATATCAGGTTATTTCTTTCCATTATCCATTCTTGTTTTGTAAAAGGCATTTTGCTTGTATTGTGCCGGAGAGGTTTCCTTTAATTCCAACTGGCTGTTAAAGCAGTTTCTTCTCTTTGTCCCTTATCTTTTTGTGAAAATAGAACAATTTCCTTTCAAATACGTCAATCCCACCCAAACACCTTGAATCTAAATTCTATCTTTAACATGACGGCTTTTAAATCTGTGTAACATGTTGATATAATAATTTCTTTCTTTCCCAAAGGTCATATTCATTCAAATTAGTTTTATGGTTGGAATACAAATAATCTTCTCTTTGAAACAGGCCATTTTTTTTCTTTCTGCTCTAGTCTCGTGTAAAAATTGTGGCTCCAGTTTTCTGATAAAGATTATATTACAATGAATGTGTCAGTTTGATCTCAGTGGTGTCTGAATATGTGCATTGACGCAAGTGTCCTATTCACCCAATGAGAAAGATATCTGGAATTTTCACTTGTTTCATTTAGTTTCAGCGTGTCGGTCCTTTACAAGTGGCTGATTTAATTTGGTTACCATGTTAACTATTTGGAGGTTGAGGTCGTAACTATATATTCTTATCAACTGTATGCTTTCTGCTTCAGGGGCCCATGAATGGCTCTCTCTCTCTCTTCAAGCTTTTTGTCTGTTTGTGTGTGTTTGTACCATGTTCTGTGAATCAGAAATCTTCCACTGTCCAACAAAAGAGGGGTTCAGGTGCTTCCAAAATTGAATATACAAGGCTGCTTTTGACTTTCCGCACGTATAATACCTCATTATGGATTGTAACCTTTCTGGAACGTAGTCAAGGCCACATAAAACCTACAAGTTATAAACCATATTTTTTTTTTGTGTGAAGTATAAACATGTTATTGATATTTTTATTATATTTTGTGGATGTTTTTGTAAATAATGATTTTAACAGTGTATATTTGTTTATTTTTAGGATCCTCCCGTGCTTCCAGTTGGCCAGTTCAGTGAGAAATTTGTCCACTTCATTACTCAGTGGTGAGTGTTTCGAATTGAACACCTGTTTTCGATTCTTGCGGCTCTCATTAATAAATAAATCCCTATCATGTTGTGATGAATTTGCACTGATAAATGAAAACAAAAACTAAGAACACATGTTATTCAATAAAAAATTAATTCAGGACATTAAAATATATATATATATATATATATATATATATATATACACACACACAACCCCCATTTCCAGAAAAGTTGGGACATTTTGTCAAATACATTACAATAATCAATCATCTGTGTTAATTCTCTTGAACCTTCATTTAACTGACAAAATTACAAAGAAAAGTCATTTTGTAAATACTGTTTAATTTTGAGTGTGTCTGCAACACACTCCAAAAAAAGTTGGGACAGAGGCATATGTTGTCACATCACCTTTCCTTTTAATTACAGTTTAATTATTTGGGAATTGTTGCTAGTGGAATTTTTAACCAATTTTGCCTGATAAAAAAGATCTGCTCAACAATCTGTGATCATTGTTGTCTGATTCTCCTTTTCATGATGGGCCATACGTTTTCAATAAGAGACAGATTTGGACTGTCAGTCAGGCACATCCATGGTTGAAGAGTGTCTAGAAACCACTCAGTTGTAGCACACGCAGAATGAGGCCTGGCATAGTTTTGCTTCCCAGGAAAGATGTCATCCTGATGCCATTAAATGTCTCTCTACAATCCCAATGTATAGTACGCTTCCATGTCAATGGTACCTTTACACACATGCAAGTCACCCATGCCATGTGCACTGATGCACCCCCCCCTATTATTACAGATGTTTGCTTTCGTACCTGTCGCTGATGAAAATCTCGATGTCTTGGGGATAGAGAACTCGACGTCCAGTTTTTCCAAAAAACAAGCTGAAACGTGGACTCATCTGACCACAGCACACATTTCCACTGTCTTTTAGAGCATCTGAGATGAGCTTGGCAGCATCTCTGCATTGAACAGATGTATAGCTTTCTCCTTTTGTGGAACAGAGATTCAAGTTGATTCAGCGTCAAACTGAGTTAAGAGAGAACTGTTTTATAAAGTACTCCTGAGCTCAAGTGGCTGTATTTAACATAGCAGCATGACGCTTTCTCATGCTATGCCTTATGAGAGCTCATACACATTCAATGGAGGTCTCCTGCCTTGCCATACACAGACTGAATCTTTTAAAAATATTATGCATAATTATAATAGTTTGTTACATTTATATAGCGCTTTTCTAGGTACTCAAAGCGCTTTTACATATGTATGGTAGATGGTGAAAGACATAAATGCTTTGCCATCTTGATTTGAGAGCTGTGATTTTTGAATTTTGACAATGCTCTCATGACATTGAGCACAAAGGACCCATCTTTACTGAGAATCTCTTTCACACCCAAACAAGATTCCCTCACCTATTACCAATTCACCTGCTAATGGGGTTTAAAAAACTATTCCAAAAAACTAACCCTCTACCCCAACTTGTTTGGACTGTTGCAGCCATCAAATTCAAAGTTTGTTTATATTAACAAAATACAGTTATGTTGGTCAGTGAAAACATTGGAAATCTTGTCTTAGTACTTAGTGTCAGTTAAAAAAGGTTCAAGAGAATTAACAAATCCCAGATTGTGTTTTTTATTGCATTTTACAAAATATCTAAACTTTTGTGGAAATGGGGTTGTAAATATATAATATTAAAATCATAATATTTCGCAATATTACTTTTTATGGTATTTTTGATATAAACTGCAGCATTTTCTTTCGAAAACATAAAAAAATGTATTGAGCCTGAACTAGTGTAAAATCATGTATAAAACTTGTAACATGAAGTGATCCAACACACAATAGCCTTTCCTGAGTCTACACACCAAACTTACAGCAGTTAGACTAGCTATACACAACAGTAAATATTTATACAACATCTGTCCCTGGTCTCCTGACCTTGGTTTCTCAAACACATCTGCACTCAAATTTGCCCTCCACAGGTCATGCCCCAAAACACAGAATTCCCCACCAACCTCTTTCATGGTTTCTCTGGCGCTCTGGGCCTCTGGGCATGGTGGGTGAACCCAGATGTTTTGGGACTTGTTTAGCAGCTGATGTTTATCTGCAACTCACTTTATTTACACAAACAGGTCACCTGGCTCACTAGTGCCACCCCTGCCTGGCACTGCTCTTCCAACATCCTTTTCTATTATTAGCCTGCTCTGAGTGGGTGTCATTCATCATGGACCAAATGATGCCTCTGTAGGCTGCTCTGTCCCTATAATCCCTACCATTTCTTATCTGGGTCAGCTTGACTAATTTACTTGCACTTAGGTGTGATCTGTGCCAAGGAGAATTGATAATTACTTACCTCTCCCTTTATCACTTTGTGATGCAGTTATATTAACCTCAACAGAACAATGATAAAGATGATGTGAGGATAAAGATGCATACTGGATGCAAGATCTACAGTAGGAGTGTTGTAGAAGGCATTTATATATATATATAGATATAGTATATGTATACTTATAGAGTCTGTATTATAATTTGTTTAGTTAAATTGAGTTATTTTAGTTCTTCAACAAAATGTTGCTTTGGCAGCTAGCTGAAATAAAACAAGTTCAAATTAATTTCAGTTATGATATTTTATATAATGTTTTATGGTTGTTGGTCTAGTTTTAATTTATGATAACTCTGATACAGATGATGGTGATAATGTAAAATGGGTTGTGAAATAGCAGGATGGAGAGGTGAAAGTTTTCATTGCAGGTTCATGGATAGTGTGGTAGACTTGCCGTGGTATACAGTGATTACAATGGATAATTTTATATCAGGTAAAGGGGGGAAACAATATGACTGAACATTTGCAACACTGTAATAGCAGAACAAATAGAATGGCCTTAAAGGCACACTATGTAAGATGTTTGGATCAAAATATCCAAAAACCACTAGAACAATGTTTGTTGATTTGTGTACTTTATTATACATACAGTATTATCCCAAATATTTTTAAAAATGTTTAAATCCAGAGAAATAAGCAGTTTTAACCAGGACACGGACCGTGTCTGTGCGTCGCCCATCAATGACATGACTATCAATGACTCGATTTCCATTTTATTTTGTAGAAACCATGAAAACACGAAACATCATTGAAGATGATGTGCAGTGCAAATTCAACTGTACTGAACACTCTTTTCTCTTGCATAGACACCTAATATTATTTGTACCTATGAGGGGAAGTAAATGATAAAATACTGTACATGCATCAGTCCTTTAAAAGTCTGTATTATGCACTTAAAGACTGCCTTGCGATTCAATGTTAGTGTGTGATTCATATTTTCAATACATTGACAGATAAATGATTTTAAAACATATATCGTGAATATTTTGTGTAAAATACACATACAATAACACAAAATACACAATAACACATAATACTGAGTAAAATTAGTCCTAAAGTGATGTGGGTAAGTCAAGGTTTGTCCTTCTGACATGCTTCTTTTGCTTTCATCCTTTTAAATGAACAGTGGAGGATTAATTGCTACATGCATCACATTTATAATTAACTCTTCTGCTTTTTTTTTCACAGTATGAGGAAGCAACCCAAAGAAAGACCTGCTCCAAACAACCTTATGGTGAGTTTCTTTTCCTTACTTTTACATTTCCCCCTTAAGTCTGAATAAGCCTTCAAGAGGATTATAATACAAAATGCCAATTATTCAATGGGGAAGTGAATGGGTGTATTTGATGGTGGGAAGGCTTTTGTTGGTACTCTGTGTCTGGGTTTGTTTAAAACCTTGACCTTTTGGTTTCTTCTGTTTTTATTTTGAAAACTTTATGTATCCTATTTTCCATACTCAACTAATCTATAACATAGAAGTTCAATGGCCGTCAGGTTATTGATTTGAATTTTGTAAGTGTTGGGTAACCTTTGACTCTTCTGCTGGGGATTCAGTTGAGGAAGGACAAAAAAAGCAGCTGCGGTCAATTGTTCTGCGTTAATGTGAGGATGCTTTGTGTGTTTATGAAGGGCACACAGCTATTAGTTGCTCTCGGTGCTTGAGCATTGTGATATTAAACCCTTTTAAATGTTAACATTTTAACATCTTTAAAAATGTGTGTACATTTAATGTTTTTGTAAATATAAGAACTTCTTTGAGGCTTCTTCTATCAGGTTATTTAAAAGGGATTATGAACTTTAAACAATGTGAAGTTTGTTGAGATTGTCAGCCAGAGGTTAATTAAAAGTTGTAACAAGATTTTAATGTTAAAATTGTCTGATCAGTGGGATCTCTGATGCATTTCTTAGCTCTCTAAACAATTAATGAAAGATATACTCTATATAGTCTACTCTTCATATACTCTAAATCGAAGAGAATACACAAAGGGAGGGTGTAGGGTTTTTTTTATAGGGAAATTTAAAACAATGTCTAAATAATTTCCTTTTTTTAAAAGTTATTACCAATTTTTAATGTTTAATTTTGATGCGTATTTTATGTTTAAAGTTTAACCTATTCATGGAAATTGTCATTTTGTCGAAAAGTTGGATTTTTTTTTCATTGTCCTCATCCAAAAAGGAAACATTGCTGTCTCATTTCTAAGACTCAAACTTAAATTAAGTACATCATGATTCACTGGAATTCTGATTCTCAGCTTAGGCTAAATCTCTTAATGCTTATTATGAAAAACTCAATAATTACAGTGTCCTGTCTCCCTTCTGTCTTTGTGCCACTTGGAACAACTTAAACTTCCCCATTGGCTGGGCTGATTTAATCTGAGGTTGTGTGTCAGCTCACACTTTCACAAAAGTTAGCATTCAGAGCCTTTAAAAGCTATTTTCTCCGCACCACAGACAGCGCAGTCCACAATAATCTGACTGCTAATGCAGAGATGCTGCACACTGTGGCCTTGTTTAAACCTGGTATTAAGATGCGTTTTAGCCCATCGGATCACAAGTGGACGATGCTGAATACAGGTGTGACTGTGAGCGGGTCTAACGTTTTTGAGCTTCTCCACTTTTAACCACTTTCAGAGGTACTCAAACGCATTTCACCAGATTGCTTTCGTGGTGTGAATGCTCATGTGGTCGGATGCATTCTAACAGCCACAAAAGACCGGCTACTGATCTAATGTGTAAACATTATGGGAAGCACGCTAGCCTGAAGACCAATGTTTAATTTGAAGATGAAAACGTACCAAGCACAATGTTCTCTCACCATTCCTGATTTCTAACACACACTCACAGCATTCTGCGTGATCTTGCAGCTATCAGAGCTCTCCGTTTGTTTTCCATCATCTCCGGGCGCGTTCTTATGTAACTAGCTTATTTTGTTCATTAGATCGAAAATTTAAAATAAAAAATAAATAAATAAAAAAATTACCCGCCCATAGACCCTTCCCTCAAATAAATCAGGACAGAAGTTATTGAAAGTGGACAAAAGAGAAAGATTAAAACAACAGGTGTAAATGGGTGTGTGTGTGTGATACCTGTGCTTCAGTGTTTGCTCTCTCATCGTCTCTCATCATATTGATAGACAGACTAGATTTAACTCATCATTCTGAGTGTAGATGAGATTGTGGGATGTTCTTGTATCTTCTTCATCCTCTATCAGATGTCTATGTTGAAGCACTGTTAATAAAACATATATCACTGTTAATTTTACTTTTTTTGTTTTTAAGAAAAGAATACTTTTATTCAGCAGGGATGCTAAATGGATCAATGACATTTAGAATTTACAAAAGATCTCAAATATATTTCAAATAAATTTTCTTTTGAACTTTCTATTCATCAAAAAATCCTGAATCATGTTTTCACATAAGTGTTAATGCCATTGCACACTGAGTCCGAAATTCGCATCCGAAATTTTCGCACGTTAAAAAAAATCGACCTCACGCTATGTCAATCTCGCTTGCACACCGCCTCCGAAACTTTCGTCCGTCATAAAGAAATTTGGATTGGTGTCGATTTTCTGCGTTTTTTGCCTCCACAGCCAGCATTTTGAGGACCTCGTTCCGGACATCATTCCACATGCGCAGTGCTTTCAGTTTCAATTCGATCAAGTATCTTCTCTTCTCTCGATTGGATTACGAAAGGAATAAACCTCCCCTTTCAATCAGATTGAAATTTCGGATTGATTAAGGTGTGATTGCAGCAGCCAATTCGAACTAATGTATTATTTGGGTACAATATATAACCTGTAGCCTATACAGCTGTTCTGTCTGCCCAGCGCATCCACCAGGCCCCGCGCGTAGACATACTGCCGGTCTCTGTTCAGAATCGATTGGTTCATTGAAATTGGTGGTCTTGTTTTTAATATGTAGCGCCAGAATCGCAAGCAAAGCATCAACTGACATTCTGAGGTAAATTTTGAATCGCTCAGGATAAATTCGCAACTCCTTGATACGGAGGTGGAACTCCTTCCTCTCGGCACAATTTCAGCATTGGATGGACCCAATATTTTCTCTTTTTTCTCTTTTCAATAAAAGAAAGAGGGCAACAAAATCATCCTCACTGCTTGACGAATCCATTTTGTATTTTTGCGGGTTTTTTTCCGCAAAGGTTTAATAAATACGCATCAGACTCAGTGTGCAAGCTTTCTGTGCGTGACGAATTTTTAGCCTGACGAACACGAAAAAACGCATACTAAAATTTCGTACTCGGTGTGCAATGGCCTTTAAGCAGCACAACTGTTTTCAACTTTGATAATAAAAGGAAATGTTTCCTGAGCAGCATATTAGAATGATTTCTGAAAGATCATGTTGGATCAACTTTATCCAACTATTCTACTCACTTGTTGCCTTCTTTTTTTTTTTTTACTCAATTCAGGAGATCCAGGTTTATTTCCCCCTTGTTTATATGTCTGTAACGTGCAATCTCTTAGTTTTAGTTAGATGCAGTGCAGTGATTGACATCTTTCTCTCTCATTGTCAGTCAGCCTTTTAGCACCTTTTGTCCCCTCCTGGCCTTTTCCACACCCACCCCAGGCTGTCTGGGGGGCTCAGCTGCAGTAGCCTCAGCCAGGGACAAAAAGCTGAAAGAGTCCTACAAACTCACCGAATCTGTCACAGCGCTCCTATATCCACCCCCACGTTTCCTGATTACGTGGGCTGATGAGCTAAGGAGCGATTGCTTGTGTTCATGTGTTTTAAGACCCATGGGAGCGGCTCTTAAAAAGACACAGTCTCTCTCTGAATGCCAGCGGCCTGTGCCGTGGGGATTGGGATGAGAACAGGCTTTGAAAGCCCTCTGACACCGCTCTGATGACTTGTTTACACATTAGCACGCTGAGGAGCTTCTTGAACTCCCCGGAGGGTAATCCTACCTTTTAGCTCTCGATACTGTCTGTCTGCCACCCCTCCTCCTCACCCACCCCCTTGATAATGGGGGGTCTTCAAAGCTGCCGGACTCTCTTCGCCACAAAGACTTGGTCAAATATTACACCTCAGAAAATCAGAATAACTCAATCAATTTCAATTTAGCTCAGGCAGTTTTTAAAGTCTTGTCAAAAGCCACCTTAAATGGGTTTGTCTTTAAATTAGGGATGTTATTAATTCTGATTCACATTAATGTAACAGTTACATTAAAATGATTAAATGTTAATGATTACATTTTAAATTATTAAATATATTGAAAGAAAATAATATATTGGAGTTGGTAAGAATGTTTTAATGTTTTAACCAAGCCTTCATTTAAATTAACAAAAAAGAGCAATAGTGTAATGTTATAACCATTTCAAATAACTTGTTTCTATTTTAGCTTTTCTATGTCTGTGATTATATTGCTGAATTCATTCTCACATGTCCATTGTTGCTCAGGAACCATTTCTTATTATCAATGTTAAAAACAGTTGTGCTGCTTAACTTTTTTTTGTGGAAATCGTGATAATTTTTTTCAGGATTCAGGATCTGAACTGACCTCAGACAATAGTGTATCTCCTATGATATTTAAAGCTATGTTTACACATGGCAGGCTATTTTCATAAACGGACATTTCACCCCTTCGTTTAGAAAAAAAAACTTTGTGCACACCTGTCAGTTTTCAGAAAAGTGTTTGTTTACACAAACCTGTGTATACTGTTCAGATCAGAATCCCGTAAATAATCACATATTGTGGCGTTGGCTGCCTGAAACTCAGTTTTTCTCAGTGTACAAGCAAACGAAGGCCAAAATCTCCACTCTGGCCAGAGTTTTTAGAAAGAATCGTTTTCAGAGGCGAATTCTCCATTTGCGTGTAAACGAAGGGCACAAACAAAGGGAAATCTCAGTTTTTCAAAATAACTAATGGACGTGTAAATGGGACCTAAGTCTTAAAGTCAGCAAGTTTTTGATTCACTAAAAAAACCCGCCAGAAGTAATTTGTTCAAGAATCTGTATTAGTTCTTAATAAGACACAGGTTCTTGGGTTCCCAGCAAAAACAAGTAATATTGTGTATTCCGTTTTCTGAAAACACTGAGTTTGTAAAACACAGACCTGTTTTAGTGATGTAGAAATCTTTTGGTGTTGTTAAGGTGCTTGGGTTTAATAGGTGTTGGTACCCGACCCTCCCATCTCACTCACAGATGTAGCTTAAAGTCCCCCTCTAGTCAATAATGGGCTATATGCACGCATGAGTTCCGCATTTGACACAAGGATGCTCGTCCATTTCTGGTTGTGGAGATTAAAGCGGAGGAAAACCGAGGAAAACTGGATTATGGCAGAGTCTTCAAAATTTACTGTCCTCCCGTCTTTGAAACGAAACGTAAATACGTTTAGATGTAATTTTATATATAGTTTATTTAATATAATTTTAAAAAGAAGCATAAACACAACGAGGGGTGTCTGTTTTATCTGTTTTTGTGACTAACGTTTCTTTAGTATAACCATGGAGTATAAAATTCAATATAAATTCTCGGTTTTGCATTGGACTCTACGATCGGCGGAAGTTATCGAGCATCCTTAAACCTTCACCGGAAATACCGCCGTGCATAGAGCCCATTGTATCCCTTAAAAAATGCAAAAAAATGTCTTTATGCCTTAAATAGCTTGAATGTAACTCAACACCCTTGTCTCATCAAGGATAAGCAGTTCTATGAATTTGAAAATTAGTAGGGCTGGGTAATAAATATCGATTTCTCGATATTAATCGATTCTCATTTTTATGAACCGATATCGATTCTTTAATCTCAAGAATCGATTAGTCATCCTGTTTCATTTGAATGAATGGATCATTGTATCGCGGCTGCGCGCATCTAAAAAATCGCAATAATCTTTGTCCTTTGTTACTATTGATATGAAACAAAGTCTCAGTTTTCAAATTACGTCCATTTTCTTTAGAAATTCAAAAACATAAATAGCGTTTTGGCGCTGTGGCGTGAGATCGCTCTGGAGAAGCAGCAGCGCTGATCTCTCTTCCGGCTTAATAATACCAGTCACAGCGCCAAATAAACATGAATGAGCATCTGAAACTGTGTTAAAGATAGAGTACAACTTATCGAAATCCGTATCATGTCACATTGATTCGCTCAATCAGCGTTTCAACCGTGGAAAGACGTCAGTTAAACAGCTTGTAATCAATGTCATGTATCGTCATATTTACCTCAGAAAACCCACATAAACTCGTTAGTCAGCTAGAAAAAATAACTCTATAGAGAGGAGCATTTTGCTAAATATATACACCATATTACACATGCATTATAATCTTAATGTTCTTCAATATTTAATGCATATTTGAATAAATCTGACAAGTTTTTATGACAGCCACCATTTAAATGTTTATATTTCATATAATCTTCTTATTATAAAAATAAATAAAAGTGTAATTTAAGTGTTTGTATGGCTACAACACAGTTAATTATTACCTTCATATTAGGCTAATGAAGCCTATAGGCTACAACTAGACTCCCATAGTTTACAGCATTAGTTAAGAGATTCGATTCCCTTGAGAAAAATGGCCATTTATTGTAACTGATATCCAAAATAATCGATATTGAATCGAATCGTAATCGAATTGCAAGCTTGTGAATTGAAATCGAATCGAATTGTGAAATTTGTCTCAATACCCAGCCCTAAAAATTAGTTCCGCCTCCACTCACTCACACCAGCGATTGATTGGTTACAAAGTAGTTTGTGATGTCAGAAACACCAGTGATTTCAAATCCCATTTTTGAGACTGTCTTTGGTTCACTGCAGTTTTAAGGTGAAAATACTCAGCGATAGTGTTGACTTATGAATTTGCGCATGGTTCGTCTTAAACCATGTTAAATACCACATAGGCATATAAACAACATTAAAAACTTGATTTTTTTTCACCACAGGGTGAGTTTAACTATAAGTGAAGTAGACCTACCCTGCAGCTTTTTAATCCAAATAGATGGTCTGTCCCATGGTGACTGCTGAATTAAAAGATTGTCATATACATCGTCCTATATCCAGAGGGAACAGGTCGTTAGTGTGCAAATCTGAAAAGACCTAGTTATTACTCCGACTTCTTCACCTTCCTTACTCTGTGTCTATCTCTCGTGTTTTCTCTCGGCTTCAATATCAGCCTCACACACACACGCACGCACACACACTGTGACACGCATTACGCTGAGCTGTCGCTGTTCACCAACACATTCTAATGAGGTGATGACCAACCACTTGTTATAATTGCTTTGGACTCTTTTTAATTTTCAAGCTTATTAATCATATGTAGAGTTATTTAAAATTGCATAAATTAATCTTAGATTAAAAAGCCTTTAACAGACTCAAAACAATTAAAGAGAGAGGTGAGATTTCCCCTGGGTTTGGCAGTTTTACTTTAATGGTGAATTCAGGTGATTATCACACTTTGATATGAGGCTGTGATTAATGTAGCCACACTTTTAAATGAGATTTTGCCATTTATTTATTTTTTTGTTCACGCGTCGGAGAGGTAAAGCAGGGAGACGCTAATGACCTAACTAACAGAGTATTTATACTGCCTCTCCACTCTGCAAGTGTGCTAAGCTATCAGCAGTTGGGTTAATTAATGGAGGTCCTGTTTCTGGCATGCTCCAGCACACACACATACACGGAACAGAGGGACACACAGGTGGTGCGCTTTGTGTGTTTGTGATCCGTCTCAGCACATCCAAACAAGCGGGTGACCATCTAAGCTCTGATTTATTTCAGGTCATCGGGCACACGCCCAAATGTACGTCTTTGCATTAGTTAGCGGACCTGCACACCTTGTCAGCTTGCGTTCTGCTAGATACGTGTCCATGCTTGACATTTATTGTTAAATGTGCTTACGCTCTTATTGTTTCTTTAACTTCAGGCACTTTTTTGTCTGTGGGGTTGGTTTTACTAAAACTTTTTAGATTTTGCTAAATGCTGTTTTGTTTTTTGCCTACTTTTCAAGTGTCTTTCATGTGCAAAAAAAAAAAAAAAAAGGTTTTATCCTTGTCCCAGAACTGTTAAAGTCTACTGCCAAAATGATTTATTACATTGAAGGCAATTATAATCTACACAAATTGTAATATTTATTGTGTTAAAAAAGATGTATTTGCCCCACAGTTGTAGTATAATTTCCAAAATACAGCAATTTTGCCCCATATCAAGTATTTTTGAGAATTTATTATTACTTGGAGACATACAGTGAAAAGCTGAGATGAAATATGAGACATGATGTGTGAGGGGGAAAAAAGAAAAATCGAGTTGCATATTTACCGGTAATCATGTTTTATAAAGGATTAGTTCACTTTAAAAAAAAAACTTTTTCTGATAATTGACTCACCCCCATGTCATCTAAGATGTCCACGTCTTTCTTTCTTCAGTCGAAAAGAAATGAAGGTTTTTGATGAAAACATTCCAGGATTTTCTCCATAAAATGCACTTCAATGGGAACCAAACGGTTCAAGGTCCAAATGAGAGTTTCAGTGCAGCTTCAAAGGGCTTTAAACGACACCAGACGATGAGTAAGGGACTTATCTAGGACCCTTTGAGTCATGACTCGAAAAAAGATTAGTTCATTTTGATGAACGGGTTCGAACAGGAGAGTCACGAACGCGCATCACAGAGCAAGGCAAGCATTTGTGCTTATAAAACTTAAACTTTTTATATATTTTTTTTAATGACCGATCGTTTCGCTATAGATAAGACCCTTATTCATCGTCTGGTGTCGTTTAAAGCTGCTCTGAAACTGTCTTTTGGACCTTGAACCATTTGGACCCCACTGAAGTCCATTATATGGAGAAAATCCTGGAATGTTTTCATCAAAAACCTTAATTTCTTTTCGACTGAAGAAAGAAGACATGGACATCTTGGATGACATAGGGGTGAGTAAATTATCAGCAAAAGTTTTATTTCTAAAGTGAACCGCTCCTTTAAGCTGTAATCAAATTATGCAAAACGTATCAAAGTTTGTATATTTAGGGCACATAAATGCAAGCTTTGATTGAAAACAGCCCGAGTTGGGAATTTTATTTAAAATGTTCGTTCCATTAAACCATATTAAGGTATGACACTGCAGTGATTTTTGCTGTCTATTAGTGGACAATTTGAAGTTGTGAAAGCATATAAAAAGTGTGTTTTAATAGACGTAATTTCCGAGTTCAAACTAGCCCATCGCTGAAAAGTTATTACATGAATTCTCTCCATTCTCCCTGGCCTCTTCTGTCAGGTCAGAAAGCAGGTCGTCACCCGAGCAGAGGCAAGAGCTGGTTGTGGATCTGGCACCGAGCGTTGGGCTGCCCAGGCTGTGTGATTGATGAGATGGGTGGCTGGTAGGACTGCCCTCTCCAACACTCCAGCACTGAGAGTGATTAACCTCACTGTGGCACAGGCAGAGCTCACCATTAAGAGGACAGAACGATTGATGGTATAGCGTTGTCCTCGTTGAGAGAGAAAGAAGGAAAGAATGAGAGAGGCTGATGAAAGGGTATGAGAAGATCATCAAAAGTGTAGTGTGCATCAAATGAACATCAGATTAAGAAACAGTTGTTGCTTGTTTTTTAGGATCTATCTGATTTTTCAGCTTCAGTTCAATTTAGCTTTGTTTCCCCCTCCATGTATGTCTCCTCATTAGGGCTTCCTAATGATTTTGCTTTTGAATCACTATTGAAGAACTATTTAATACCGAGTACTTAAGAGGCTTTGTGCCAGAGAAATTAGGGCTGATGTGCTCATTTACGCTGCTCAATCTGTTCATCTCTGTTGAAAACCAGTAGGCATCACCTTGGCATGCACACGATTGACAGCCATATTGAGTCAGTCCTTCTCGTTTTTATTTGACATTTTGTATATATCAGCTATTTGAACAACATTTGTTTTTCACTCTTCATTACTAATTTATTTTGCTGGTATGTATCATTGAAGGAATCACATCGAAAGCTAAAAATCATTTATTTATCTGCCTCATTCTGTTTTTCAGGATCACCCCTTTATCGTGCAATATAATGACGGCAACACCGAGGTCGTGTCCATGTGGGTGTGCCGCAGCCTAGAGGACCGCAAAGCCCAGCAGGCACAGATACTCATGTGAACAACAGTGGCACAGGATGGAACTATGGGAGATGGTGTTCACATTTCCTTACTTTATTCTTCCACTGAACCCAGAAAAGCAGCAGCTGAACTTGCAGCTCTTCCTCCCATGCGTGATTTTAATGATGCACGGTGAGACAACTGCTTCGAGTCTAATGCAGATTATTTGTCCTGCACATGAGGATTATAACCGTACGTATTGGTTTGCATTGATGCAAATCTTTAACTTTGTTCTTCTGCAGTGGGTTTCTTTTCACTTTTTACTGCAGATTCCAAAGTAAATGTTTTCACTTAAGATCCTTGCGGGGGGCTGTTGCTCGCTCCACTCGAATCGAGTAAAAAATGGTGTCTCTGTCTGTACTTAAAGCCACAATCTGGTTTTGCCAAAACATTGTGGGCATGTCATAAATCATCTCGAGATCAGTGAAACATTACAGTTTTCAAATATATGGGGGTGTGTCAAGCATCGCTGCAGTGCAAGTCATGCTGCTGTTGTTTTAAAAGCCCCTTTGTTGAGTTTCACAAATGGCCTGCCACTTGTGGCGATACCCTATTGAAGCTAGAAAAATATGATGCCTTGTTACGGTGGAACGCAGTGGGTGGCAGCTTGTGCAGATGAGCTTTTAGATAGTCCAGCAGAAGCCAACTGCAATGCTATGTTAGATGCCAGCAGTTTCATAAGTGGTTCATGGGAATTGATTGCATTGATTAATGCAATCCCATTTTTAAAGGGTTAGTTCACCCAAAAATGAAAATTCTGTCAGTATTTACTCACCCTCATGTCGTTCCAAACCTCTATGTGTTTATTTGTTCTGCTGAACACAAAGGAAGATATTTGGAAGAATGTTTTAATCAAACAGATCTCAGTCCCCATTGACTACCATAGTAGGAAAGTTAATGGGGAATGAGATCTGTTTGATTAAAACATTCTTCCAAATATCTTCCTTTGTGTTCAGCAGAACAAATAAACACATAGAGGTTTGGAACAACATGAGGGTGAGTAAATACTGACAGAATTTTCATTTTTGGGTGAACTATCCCTTTAAGTTTGTTCTATATACTTTTTACTCTATGTACGCTACCGTTTGAAAGTTTGGGGTCGGTACTATATAGACTTATAAAGACTAAGTTAAGAAAGATTTAAATTTTAAAATCATCATATTGGACTGATTTCTGGAGGATTGTGGACACTGAAGACTGGAGTAATGATGTTGAAATTTCAGCTTTGAGGTCACAGGATTAAATTACATTTTAAAATGCATTCAAATTGAATATTTCACAATATTACTGTTGGTGAGCATTAGAGACTTCTTTCATTAACAGTTTTAAATATCTTGCCAACCCCCAACTTTTGAACGGTACACTATTCTTAATTTCAAACTTATGCAGCAAATCGGATGAGTCTAGACATTTAGAAAGTAAAAATTAACTTCAGTTGAAAATCCATTCATATTAGCACAGCAAGATCCACTGTTGCAAGAATGGAATAGTGACTATTTAAAATCCCATCGCACCCCTTTGAAACCGAATTCACTTTTCTCTTGTACTAAGCACTCCCATTACAGCGGTATGCATCTGAATTAACTGACTTCACTTGTCTGAGGATTTTATCAAAGCAAATCCACAACCTCTTTGCATTAGTCACACCAAGCCATAACAACTGCCTTCGTTTCTGATATTTCTCATCAGTATTACTTTAAAGTTGTTGGGTTTTTTTTGTTTTTTTTTTATTGCAAGGTCAAAATATATTTTCTTATTTGAATATTGTGGTTCATCAGTGCCTGTGTCTGTTGTGAAAATATTCAGAATATTTAGAGGATATGACTTAACACAGAGGAAGAAGAGAGTTTTTCTATATAATGGTGAATATGTATAGTTCTGAAAATGTAGTTGTCACATACCAAAGCCAAATGCATTATATATTGTAGATTTTTTTTAAAAACTGTATTGTAAGTTATATTATTTGTATCTCCTTTTTTTTCTTAATATGTAGAACTAGCTAAAATTAATTACGATTTTTTTAAAAAAATATTAATGATTAAAAAGACAATTGACCAATAACAAAATCTATGAAGAAGAAAACCATATGACTACCTAATACTGTTGAGGTGAGGTTTGCACATAAAGTTGATTTTTCTAAATAAAACTTTTCAGATCTCATTGTTTCATTTATCTGCATTTCATGTTTCCATACACTCTTAAAGGAGTAGTTCACTTTTAAAAAAACTTTTGCTGATTATTGAATCATGTCATTCTTTCTTCAGTCAAAAAGAAATTAAGGTTTTTGATGAAAACATTTCAGGATTTTTCTACATAAAATGGACTTCAATGGGAACCAAATGGTTCAAGGTCCAAAAGACACTTTCAGTGCAAACTGCAACTGTTCAAAGGGCTTTTAACGATTCCAGACGATGAATCTGTAATCTTTTAAAGCCCTTTGAAGCTGCACTGAAACTGTCTTTTGGACCTTGAACCATTTGGTTCCCATTGAAGTCCATTATATGGAGAAAAATCCTGGAATGTTTTCATCAAAAACCTAAATTTCTTTTCAACTGAAGAAAGAAAGACGTGGACATCTTGGATGACATAGGGGTGAGTCAATTGTCAGCAAAAGTTTTTTTTATAAGTGAACTATTCCTTTAAGAAAAATGGTTCTACACAGTACCAAATTAGGGTTCTTCTCAGCTTGTAACAATAGCAGAACCCTTTTTTAAAAGTCCTATAGGATCTTAAAGGTAGAAGAAATAAACTTTTTCAACAATATTTATTGTCATTAATATTAGCATGTTATCTGATTAATATTCCTATTATGTATATATTATATGTGTGTGTATATATATACGTGTGTGTGTGTGTGTATATAATTAATTATTCATATTGTTTTTTAGTCCCCTAACTGCCTGATCTTGTATCTTGTTGCCTCTATTTAAGTTTTACGTTAAAATTATATATATATATATATATATATATATACAGCATGTTGTGTCAATTGGGTACTTTTATTTTTTATTGACATGGCAGATTGTAGCAAAAATGGCAATGATCTTATAACAGTTGTTTGCTGAATACATTGAAAATAACAATCGATATTGAACACAAGATGTTATGAAGACCAAGTTCCAAAATCTTCACAATCCCCTATAATGTCTTTATGTCCTTCATTATGTGTGTATTTTGAGTGGCAGTTTCTGTCTGCAGATGATGAGGGTATGGTAAGTTACATTGTGTCTCTGTAAAAACAATTATGTACATGAAGGCCAAAATTAGCAAAATTGACTATGTGCCCTTTTCCATGTTTGTTTGTTTTTTTGTAGCTGGTGTGTTTAGGCATAAGATCATAATTTAAAAAAAAACAATGTGGATCATAAGTTAGGGCCTACTTTGTGGAGAAGAGAAGATATCCTTAACTAAAGAGCTGCTCACACTTACATGTTCAGTTAAACTAAAAAGAGAAAAAGACATGATTGTTAGGAAATGATAGGTACAATTTTTTAAGTAATTTTTAGACATTTTAAGAAAGAAATCCTTTACCTGTTGAGAGTACGTTGACGGTATGTGTAGTTAGCTGAGCTCCAAAAAATCAGCAATGAAGAAGCTTTGACAGTTACAGATTTGAAAAAAAAAGGTGGGAATGAAGACAATAATAACATTTCAGCAAGGTTTCTTCAGCATGGTTTTAAATAGAACTGTTACTATGTGTAAAGAACTTTTTAAGAACCATTTATTTAGAGTGTGTTTTTTTAGATTTATATGATTTTTAAAGAAACTCTCCAGACCATTTGAGGTATCAATCATGTCTGAAACAATAACATCCAAGGCAAGTTTTTCTCAGAATAAAACTCCGCAATGCAAGACTGTATGGATTTAACCATGAAATGTTTGATTAAATGTAATTACACGTGGCTGTATTCTGAAAGCCTGTTTGAGTTATTTATAAGATGAATAATTTAGTATATAGTATTCTAAACCCGTTTCTATCTTCAAAGACATTTAAACATACTCATCTGTATATTCCTCAGATTATTAGCATTACATAGTTTACACTGTGTTTGAAAGGATGGTATTTTATTACACATAATTCATCAGTGGTCATGGGATGCAGTTTTGGTCCAGTGTTTTCAGAGTGTTGGGGTCCATACAGGATGACTACAATAAGGAGGACAGGAATCTGATAGGAGGTCGGACTCACTCTCCTCTCCACATGAGTGCATATTGAACCTGATCAGTGCTAGTGTTCACTTACACAGTCTAACCTTAATGTTTACAATAACACTGTGCGTCGGATGTAACATTATGGTGATCAATACAGAAAGCATAATAAGTATCCAGACAGAATGATGTTAGAGAGAGAAGAAATATATCTATATCAGTACTGTGTGTACAGTACTTAGCAAACGTCTTAGGCAGGTTAGTATTTTCACCAAAAAAAGAAAAAAATGGTTTTAAACTGGAGGTACTGTAGGTTTATTCAAGTTATAGTTCTTCTGGATTTAGTCCATCTGTTTTTTCTTCATGTAATCCCAGATGGACTCAATGGTGAGATCAAATTTCTATGTGGAACAGATGGGCTGTTGTCAGACTCCTTGTGCATACAAAAATCTCACTGGATTATTACAAATAATGGCAAAATGAATTTTTGAAACTGTAAACTGATATTTCCCACTGAAACTACCGTAAAATATATAAATAACTTAAAACTGATTTTTTTTTGTTGTTGAAAATACTAATATTTTGCAAAAAAAAAATACTTTTACAACGAGTTTATATGCGTATAGACTACGTGAAGAAGATTAGATAGGCTAGTCTTTGTTAATGAAAAATAAAGCGAAACAATTCGGAATCATTTTGTCCCACAGATGCATTTTAGGGTCAAACCGCAGTCCAATCAAGCTGGACTGCCATAGAGCAGCGGTATATGGACCCCCAGCACCTATAAAGACCCTCAGTATTCCTCCTCCTTCAGCTGTTGGGGCCCATATATACTGATGCTCTAATGCGACCTTTTCTCCTCAGTCCAGTTTAATTTGCGCGGGGGCCGGACGAGCACCAAAAGACCTGTTCACAGCCATTACCAAGATTCCTTTATCAATGTCTAGTAATTAAAATGTCACCACTTAATTTTCGGGCCATGGTGAACCTCTTGTAGCAATCCTTTCCTAATAAAAACAGTAATCGAAACGCTATTTTCACTCGAAACAAAAAGGTTGCGGCAGGCGACTCGAGGGTGTCAAGGCGACAGAGATCAATATGAGAGAAGCTGATTGATCTCGCGCTAAAGTGGAATTTATTGGGGTCGTGCTTTTATACTGCGCGGATATAACGGTGACTGTAGAACACTGCTTTTCAGCTGATGCGTTTATTAAACCTCTCTTGCGGAATTAGTCTGCTTTTGATTTACGTGTCAATCTTTGCAATGACCTCCAGGACAGGATCTCTTATTTTTCTAAAACAGAACTTGAACAGAACCAGCTTCTTGGTAAAATAAAATTATACATTTGGTTCCACCAGAAAAAAAAAAAAAGTTACTGCGTAATTTATAGGCCTACACTTTTA